ATTTAATATAAAAAATAAACAATCAATTTATTGTTTAACTGTAAAAATTTTTTATACATTATATACTAAAAAATTTTTTAAACAATAAAAGTTACAACCTGTATTATTTATAAGAATTTTAAAGCCATGGGCCTAATTCTGTGAATACATAATGAACTTGATTTTTTATTTGATAAATCGATTAAAGTTCATTAGTAAAACAGGTTCGTAGTATTAAGTTACACATATTTTAAAATTTTTATAAAATTTGACCAATATTCTAAATATATCTAATCATTTGAATATCGGTCAAAAATTTTATAAAAAAAAAAATTTTTTTTTATTAGAATTAAATAAATAATCCAACTAAAAAAGGTTTATTTACATTTCACAAAAATTTTAAATTACAAAAAATTCCTTATGATTAACAAATATTTAAATATATGATAGTCAATTTATTTTAAAAAAAATCCAGTTTATTATATAGAGTTTAATCGTATTTAATAATGCGATTTTTTAATTTTATAAAAAAATCAATTTTATTTATTTATTTTTACAGTTCGAAGGGCTATTTAAAAACAAGATATTAAAAGATATTTGAAATATATTGTCCTTTAACAATATATTTACTTTTGCATTATTTTTTACTCTATTTTTTCACCTTATTAATAATCCGCTGTTCTTTTCTTACTTTTGCATCTTCAATCTTTCTTCGTTTCAAGTTTTCTTTTTCTTCTAGTTCTTTAATAATCGATTCAGCAGTTACAAGAGTTCCAAATTTGAATGTCTTGGGTCGGGCTTGGGGTTTTTTCTCAACAGGTTGTTGCTGTGGTTGTGGATACTTCATAATCGAAGCCAAAGAAGTTGTCCCGGGATGCTCTAATCATTGAATATATTCGTGCAATTCTTCATTTTCATTTTCAAGCTGTGTAAGTCTATTAATTCTTGTATTGCGTTCATGAGTTGGTTTTGGAGAAGAACTAACTGGTTGGAACGTTGCTAATGAAGGCGTTAAACGTTCAGGGTTAATTACATCAGGATTCAGGGGCCAAATGCCAGTTGCAGCGAATGCATGTCTAATTGCGTTTGGTGTATACGTTTCATGAAATGCTTCACCAAAAACTTGGGCGAATAAATATTTTGTAACTACTCCAAGATTATTATTAATACAATAATGATTTGATGCTTTATCGTATTCAGATTTAAGTTTTTTAAAAGGAATCTCAGATGGTTGAAGTATATGAGTAGTATTTGATGGCAATATATAAAGTTTTCTTGACAATATTTAATACTAGTTAAATCTATATGGCTAGTAGCTTCATTGAGCATAAGCAAGACAGGGCGAGTAGGGAGAATCGAATTACTAAAGTGCTCTATATACATTCTAAAAATATCTTCGTGCATATATCCGGTTTCAGTAAATGCAGCGACAGTACCCGGTGGAACTGATACACCTGTTAATAAACCTTCAATTACTCTAACACCTTTGTAAATAAGTAATGGGGGAATATACGTTCCAGCTGCTGAAATAGTAGGGCAAACAGATATATGCTCTTTTGAGTTTCCAGCTGCAGTTTTGTGAACTTGCCGAATGCCTTTTTGAGCTATTACTTTTGCTAACCGTGCAGAGATATTAAACCCGCTTTCATTCATGTTCCAAATTCTGTCAGGTGTAAGACAGTTTTCATTAATAAGTTTTTCAAGTGTTGCAAAATGATTTTGAATAACAATCGGATTGGCTTTAGC